GGACGACAATTGGACTATGGAAGGGCGAGGAAGTCATGGAGATGGTCCAATGACACCGGGTTATCCAGGGCCACGTTTAGTTGGGCCGAATCAGCGCCGCCAAACGCACTGTAGCTACAATGTCGTTTTGTTTTCATTTGGTAATAATTGTCCAATCGTTAACTAATTAAACTCAAAATGTTCGTCTCGCAAAGTACAACCACACTGTGCAATTAGTTTTTGATTTCGTCAACATTTAGTACTCCATGCATGTACCGCAAATTTGATGTGACGGGAAATCTTCTTTTTGCATAGTGTCAAAGTTGGGAATTTGGTGAAACTAAACAGGGCCCTGGCAGGGATAGTGCTAGATGCGACAGACAACGGACCGACAAGGACAGATGCTGATCGGCGGTGGATAGAAATAACAACCATCCCGTGTTGAAGATGATCGGTGACAGTTGAATTTACATCAAACGGATGATGTTCATTGCATGAAAGGAAACCCTTAAATTGATGGCTATGATTTAGCACCTCTAGAGAGGAAACAATGGAAAATTTTCATTAGAACAAATATATCCCTAAAGAAAATATTCTTCATAGATTTGAGTGACCCCATCTCTCCAAATCGAGAGGGCAAGGTTGTCCCTAGTATACATCGTCCTCTACCGTTTCGACGTGAGGTGCACTACTATAAAAATGATTTTGCGAGACACTGCCCAAACATTAACGGAGGCGGTCACAAAATTCATCCATCTCGTAAAATGCCTGAGATTTTCGGAGGTAGACGTTTTCATATATGGCACAATTAACCGTCTCGCAAAATCAATTTACGGAGACCGTAAAAAAATACCCAACTCCTAAAATCAATTTACGGAAGAGGCCCACCTCCGAAAATGAATCTATTTTCGGAGGCAGGCCTCTTATGAGGCCCGTCTCGGTTAAAAGGCTTGAGGCCCACTCAGCAGCCTGCTCCAAACCCTAAATATAAAATCTCAACCCCCTCTCTCCACCTCTCCACTTCTCTCAATCCCAGCTGCCGCACCCCGTCTACTTCTTCTGCTTCTCTCCCCTCTCTCTCTCTCTCTTACTCGGCGCGAGCTCGGTAGCGGGGCTGTGCCTCCTCGGCGACGATGGCACCGCACCAAGCAAATCCGACGCCCCTTCCCCCTCCTTCCTCACCACCAAGCGTGGATCCGGCCTTCCCCGCCGCCGCCGAGCCAGAGCACCTCCACCACCGACAGATCCATCCTTCCCCACCGTCGTCGAGCCGTACCACCTCCACTACCGCTGAATCCGAGATCCCCTTCCCCTTCTTCCCCACCACCGAGCATGGATTCGACAGAGCACCTCCATCACCGCTTGCGCGCGAGGCAAGGCTTCCTCAGGCACGCGAGGCAAGGGCACCCTCTAGTGGCGGTGGCGGATCTACGCGGCCACTCCTCCGTCGGCTCCCCTATCTACGGATCTACGCGTGGCAACTCCTTCGACGGCGGTTGCGGGCACGGGCGCGGCGGATCTGCACAGCCCTTACTCCGGTGGCGCGTGGAGCAAGGCCCTCCGGCGGCGGCAGGCTCACTGCGCGACGGCGTGGACGCGGTGGCAGCGGGCTCGGTGGACCTCGGCAACGGCCTCGGTGGGCCACTGGGCTTTTGTTTAATTCGTGAAATTACCGCCTCTATTATTTTGATTAACGCAGGCGGGTGCAACGTCAAGCCTGCGTTGATTTTGATTAACACAGACCTTTCGAGGCAGGTGGACGTGTTGCCCGCCTTGGTAAATGAGTTTTGGCCTCCTGCGAAGTTTCATTCTATAGTAGTGGTGGTGGTTGAGAGGTTGTGGGCTTTGAACGACGTAGCTTCGGGCGGATCAAACGTCGGACGGCTATGGATGACATGGCTTCAGTCATTATGGGCGGATTCAATGTCAGGCCGCCATGGACAAGGGTGGCTTTAGGTGTCATGGGCAAATTTGGCATCGGCTTGCGAGCATCGCGGGAGGCCTAGTGGTGTCCTCGGCTAGCACCAACATCCTCGCACTAAAAGGCTTAGGACATGCGCATGAGACTACTTAGTGGTGGGTGGGGGGGCATTTTGTGGATGATGGTGTTAAAAACTCCCTCCATTCACTTGACTCAATTCTCTCAACCAAACACAAAATATAGATTATTTTGTTCCCTTCAATGAAACACTTGACTGGAACAATCCTATCTAATAAAAACATGAACATGACTATCATATTCCATTTTTTCTCTGATACAAACACACGCTTACTGACTTAGTCAGATATTTAAAATATTGATTTCTGATCTTACACATCCTAAATTCCCTGCATACAGCATGGTTTTGAGGCTAATGTTCAATTACATCTTTATGAACAGGGCAAAAACCACCAACTTACATGAGAATCGCTGCCATGTTACTTAAATTAAAAACCACCGAAAAAAAATGGAAGATTCAGTTTTCAAAGATGAAAAGTATGAGGTACTACTATTAACGTGGAACCGGAGTTGCATTGGACACTTCAAAACTAGATAAACATAAATGTTAATGGGTCAAATGAGTTAGTTTCCATTTTAGCGGACGCTACTACACTCCGCAATACTAATAAGCATTATACTTCACAGAATCAATCATTTTCATGCACCGAAATTAGCATTAGAAAAAAAAAAGTAAACGATTTTTCACCAACTAGCTTTTGTCCATAAAAAAAACAAAGTCCATTCCAATCTCTCCATTTCAATCGAGAATACGCTTTATACTTAAATCAAAAAAGAAATTGAAATTTGTTAGTTGTCACCAAATAATTTAAGAGACGTGGTCACTGAATTCACTAGCTATAGCACTAGCAGGTGGCTCTGAAATCCCCTTCTTACTCCCCCGAGAGCGCACCAGCGATGCCGTCGGCTGGGCTGTCGCCGCCGCCGCCTCCGTGGAGCAGGCTGGAGGGGCAGGTGGTGCTGGTGACGGGCGCCTCCTCCGGCATCGGCCGCGACTTCTGCCTCGACCTGGCGCGTGCCGGCTGCCGCGTCGTCGCCGCCGCCCGCCGCGCCGACCGGCTCCGCTCGCTCTGCGATGAGATCAACGCCTCCGCTGCCGCCGAAGCCCCCCGCGCGGTGGCCGTGGAGCTCGACGTCGCCGCCGGTGGCTCGGTCCTGGAGGCGGCGGTGCAGAGGACCTGGGACGCCTTTGGCCGCATCGACGCCTTGATCAACAACGCTGGCATCCGAGGTACGAGTATCCACCAAATTGGAGCTCAGATATGTTCATTTTAGGGATCTAAATGCCAAATGAAAATACGCACCAAACCAAACTAACTTCAGATTTGTAATCCCAATTCGTTAGCGGACCAAGAACATATTGGCTCGAGTGTATGGTAATATCTGTGTTTGTTGTTTATTATACCTCAGGTGCAGTGCATTCTCCATTAGATTGGCCTGAGGATGAGTGGGACAGAATCATCAAGACGAACCTAACCGGATCATGGCTCGTGGCCAAACATGTCTGTCGACGCATGCGTGATGCCAAGCTAAATGGTTCAGTGGTGAACATCACCTCTATTGCTGGCCTTAACCGAGGGCATCTGCCTGGCTCCACTGGATATGCATCCTCAAAGGCTGCTGTGCATTATGCCACCAAGGTAGTACTGCTATTCCTCATCAAACGTTTGTTCTGCGCCTTGTGTTCGTGATAAACTAATCTGATTATGTTTTTTTTTTTTTGCAGATTATGGCTTTGGAATTGGGCGCGTATGGCATCAGAGTGAACTCAATTGCGCCTGGGCTTTTCAAATCAGAGATAACCGCTCCTCTGTTTCAAAAGAGGTGGTTGAGCACCGTTGCTTCAAAGATAGTGCCGCTTAAGGAGCATGGCGCTACTGATCCTGCGTTGACGTCGCTGGTCCGTTTCCTGATCCATGAAGCATCGTCGTATGTGACTGGCAACATCTTCGTTGTAGATTCAGGTGCCACCATACCTGGTGTTCCAATATTCTCCTCCCTCTAAATTTCCGTTTAAGGTTTAGTTTATTGTAGCTAAGTTACATATGGTTGTATAAAGCAGTCAGATAAAGACTCCATGGAGGAAGCACTGCTTCTTGTATAGTTGATTCCCAACAATATTTCATCGGTTCTGCTTTCCACTATTGTTTTAATGTATTTTTTTTCTCCAGAGATGCATAGTTTGGTAACCTTAAAGATACTCCTTTATTTTCTAACCTTTCAAACCACCAATCAGAATGAATTACCTAAAACTGCCATTTAAGTGCATGAGTCTACCAAATGTTTTTTTTGCTCCATAGATTTTTTATAAAGAAAAACTCAGCTAATGATCAAGTCTGTTCGAAGTATTTGTAGAAAAAAATGTACCAATGCAGTTCAGTGGTATAAAAATTAATGCGTTTGATTTTCCAGCGGTACCAAAGTATACTGATGCAGTGTTGTGGGATAAAACTAAACAGGCGAGCGATCTTAAGGTGTTACCAAACCAACTTTAACTTATCTTGTCATTATTACTTGTATTAACCTTGAGATACGTTTTCTTGTCCTGATCCAGTGTTTCAAATAATTTGATCTATGTTTAGCTAAACAAGGAAAACACTCTCCATGCTGATAGAAAGCAAAAAAAATTTAAATAAAGTCACAACAAGCTACTATGTACAGGATGTCTATTACTGATATTTTGCATGATACAAAAATTTGGTTTAGAACAAAGCAATTTTGTTGCAGTGTCAAGAAAAAAAAATCATTGGCTGTCTGATCAAGGCCTCACATTCGTACATTCTGGATTGGGCTTAAAGAAAAATAATTTCACCAAGCTTCAAACAAATATATATAGTACAACTGTGAAACAAAAACCTCACTCAAATAAATAGTTCCAAAGTTTTGACCATAGTAGCTTTGTATGGAGAGGCTAACCTAAACAAATAGTTTACTGGTATTGCCAATTAAAAATAAGAAACATCTAAACTCCACACATCTGAATGTTCTAAAATCACATGTCCATCTTGTAAGGTTCCTCTACTCAAATCTCATATTGCATTCCAATCTGCAAGGTTTTACTAGGAGCTATCTTTAGACTGGAAATGTTGGACCTGAAATTCTTCTGCAAAAACCTGTAAAGGTTGTTAATAACAAAGCACTTGAAACAGTTTTGCTTGGAGCTCATTTTTAAAATAACCCTTCCAAGTACAAAGGTCCTTCCATTTGCTAAAGCTGAATCCATCATCATGGTCTCATCATCACTTTGAGCTATTTCCTTGAGGGATGCAATGATTGATAGAACATACTCATCATCCTCCATATTCTGGGTGTCCATATAACCATATTGGACTATGCACCTGTAAACACCAAAAGGCTCTAGTCTGTCAAAGAGGAAGCGCTCTTCGGGCAGGACTGGTGTCACAGGTAGATGCCTCACTGTGACAAACACCATCAGTGTAACACCCCAGGTGTTTGGCTTCCACATTTGCACTGCATTTCATGAACATGAGCATCATGCATCCATTCGTGAACTTATATCACATGAAACATGATTTCGAAACATTGCAACATGTTGTATATTTCATGTGTGTTGTTTCTTTTATGAAATGTAAAGTGTGCAACACTTAAGTGCAACATGTGCCACTCACTTTAGTGAAACAAAGTTAGTTAATACTATGCAACAAGATCATGGAACATGTGAAACATGACTATGAAACAATTGTAACAATTCATATGTTTTGCATTGTTTCAGTACATACCTTGCTTGATTCTTGTGTGACCAATGTGTGGTGTGACTAATAATTCTCTTAAACAACTTAGTTATACTTAGAATGTCATTAGGAACAAGGTTCATGTTGATCATTTTGCCTAATTAGGTTCCCAAGTCATGGTTTGACCATTATGGACCCCCTAGAGCTCTTGTGTTTGACTGTTTAAAAAGTACAGCTTAGGATGTTTGCATGTCTGAGCAACCTAAAACAAAGTTGTAGCAAAATTTATAAGGAACAAACTTTGTTTAGAAGCTAAGTCATGAAAATGTGCACAACATGTTCAAAAAGGGCCCACAAGTCAGTTTGAGGTCTATTTGGAAACTCAGGAAAATTTCTAAGTCTGTGAACCGATTTTCAGTTTCATGTACCCAACTTATGCACCTTGTAGCTCCCAAACAAAGCCAAACCAGCTCGAGCTCCAATTGTAAAAGTTGTAGTTCACATGTAGATGTTCAACTTTGTCAATTACACCTTGAGCTATATCATCACGGTTTAAGAGTGAATCGGTGTCAAAATTCGCCTGTCAGTCGGGATCGATGAACTTTGAAACCGTGAGGTTCAGACCGGTCATGGCCGACCGGCGTCAGGATTCAAACGCCGCGTGGCGCCGCGCGTCGCCGTTGCGCTGCCCGCTCAGGCCACGTCGGGCCTCGGCGCTCCACATCACGCCCGCGCTCACCCCGGCTGTGACCCTGCTCCATTCGCTCCACCCGCGTGCGCCTGAGCCGCTGAGAAGCCACCGCCGTCACCTGTTGCTCCGCCGAGCTCGCGCGCGCTCACCGCTGCGTCTCGCCCAGCACCGTCCCGCCCAAAGCTCCGCTAGCACCCCACGAACCTAGTCGTCACTCTCGCTGAACCAGACGTGCACTAGGTAAGCGGCATTGCCGACTCCGTGCACCGCCACGCCATGGGCGCCATGGCCGCACCGGTGACCTCACGTGGCCGCACGCAACCACTTCACCGCATCCCGTAGCAGTAGCGTAGGGAGGTTCTCCTTGGTCCCAGGAAGCTTATGCGCACCTTGTCCGGGTACCTAACGTCGGGGTTCGCCGGAGCGCCGCCGTGCGCCATGGCCGAGCCGCCGAGCTCCGTGGCCGGGGTACTTAGGGGCCGCTAGAGCTTAGGGTTAGTAGGTCAATCGACGCGGGGTAACTTGGGGAGCACGCCGGTGCCATCAGTTTCGCTGGAGGAGCCGCCATCGGCGAGCTTCGCCGTGTGCCGCGCCGTCGTCGCTGCCTCCCCTGTTTCCTCTCGCTGACCTGTGGGGTCGTCTGACCCGAGGGCCCCGCTTGTCAGTGACCGAGTTTGAGAAGCTAGTTCAAATAATTCCAGTTTTAGGGCTGTTTTGTAAATTTTGTAACTCCAAATGTGTAGATCCAAATACTATGATTCAAATTTTGTTAGACTTATAGTGAGGTCTAGTATTTAAGAAAAATATGTCTTGAGCACATTATGTAGAAATTTTGGATGAATTAAATAGGAACTTGAAAAGTGTTTTTGAATGCATGCAAACTTGTTTAAATCATATCTTGAGTTTCTGTGATCCAAAAATTGTGAAATTTTGTGGGTAAGCTAGTATTGCTTAGTAGAAGCTCTGGTTAAAATTTGAGAGTCATTACATGTGTAGTTTTTGAGTTATAGATTTTCCTTTTATCATTGGTGGATACTTGAGTGAATTTTTGTAAATTATCTAGGAATCCTATGACCATGAAACTTGGTAGGTAGTATCTTAGTACCTTAAGGATGTTAGAAAAAATATAAAATCTGTTGCTTGACACTTTTCACTAAGGTTTCCTAATTATGCCATTTTAAGCCACTCTGTCTTACTATTTTTGTGTAGGTTGTTATACTTACTCAAATGGTGTGAAATTTTTATGGTAGTCTACTTATGGCATGTAGTGTCTACTGTAATTTTTGTAGATTTAATGGTGTAGTTTTCATATATGTTTACTATTTCCTCTAATTAATTAAATAAATTAAGAAAGGTATTAAAAGAAATGTTTTGGGAATGAACACCCTACTTTATGGTGTTCTTGTGATATGTGTGATATGTGAGTAAAGTTGGTTTTGTCCAATAAAGTGTTTATATCATAAGTTAATAATTATTGTTTGCATTATGTCTTTCTGGACAGATTTGGGGACTTTGGAAAGTTCCCCATGATATTTTGATTTGCTGTGAATGTGATGAATACAAAAGTTGTAGATAATTTATGTATCTAGCTCCTGTCAAAATTTGAGGACATTTGGCCCAGTAGTTTAGAAACTACAGCTGTTTAAAGTTAGGTTCCAGTTTTGCTTACTCTCTGCCTTGTGAGGACAGAGTTCTGTTGATTTATGAATTCGACTTGGTAAAATGTTGAATCATGCTTTGAGGCCTAAAAATGAATTGTAGACAATTTCATAAGCTTTTCAGATTGTCTTGTTGCATGTCATTTGGATTTATAAATCTCCAGTTATTGCTAGTTTACTGCACCGCTACATAGTCTTTATTTTACTGAAATACAAATGCTTGAGTGTATGCTTGATACAATGTTTCCGTTGTTTGTTAGGGGTTAGCCTAACTTGAGAATATACTTAGGTGCAGGTGCTAGGTCATTAACTGAAGATGAGCAATTATATATTAGGTTGTATAAACTTGGTAAGTAAAGTGATTTGAATAGGCTTAAATTGGAATATGCAAACTACAGCGAACATGTGCATTTCCCGAGCATCCCTGACATTCGTTCATGTGCATCCATGATATTTATCTTGCGCATTCATGCAATAGGTGTGCCGGAGGGAGTGACGTTGCTGGAGTTCGAGGGAGCCAACCAGGAGGAGGAACCCGAGGTGCAGGAAGCCGACGAAGCAGTCGCCGCGGAGGAATTGCCCGAGTGCCCTGACCACCAGCCTTCCTCGTTCCTGAAAGGCAAGCCCCGGAGCATATTAAACCTCCCATGTCTTTACAAATACACTGAGTATCTTTTATTATTGATGATGCATTAAGTATAGGAATTGGTTGGAACCAATTGCTACATTATATATCCTTCCTTGTCCAGATATCGCACTGGAATCCTATTTAAGTTCAGGAACGGGTTAAATGCTTAGCCATGCTTAGTGCGGTAGAAGTCAGGTGATTCCCTGTCACCTGCGAGCTTTAGGATGAGGTGGATCACGGTTGGCTATATTTGCTATCGTGGAAAAGAATCATGTGAATAATGAATTAAGACCGGGCGGGGTCTTGTGTAGGTTTGAACATAGTGACTCCGTCTGAGTCATTTAAGGACCGATACGCTGTACGTCCTCATGTCATGTTGAACGCAGCCTAACACTTAGCTGGCCAGATAAGTCGTTCCGATCGCGAAGCCTAATAGCTCGACTCAGACCGGGGACGCGAGCAGTGGCGGCATTCTGGAGGTAGTAAGGATGTGCGGAGAGCCATTGGTATAAGTCCAAGGCGGGCTAGAGTCCCGAACAACCTTGGTAGAGTGGTTCTCTGAGAATGTCGATCTGTTCGGACTCGCGACTCCTGAATCGTACCAAAGGTGACTTGTTTGCGACTCCGACGGGGAAAGCATGGTTTGTGTTTAGGAATATCCCTCCAGCTGGATAGGAATCGATTCGAATCGCCGTCTCTCCCGGATAGTGAGAACTTGATTGAGCAGCGGCAACGTAGATTCAATTAATTTAACGATATGGTTAAATGGATGATGATGATAAGGTTGCCACAATGAATACCTGATATGGTTATTAATGTTTGCACCCTAATAAAATGATTGCTTAGTATAGGTGCTAATATAGATGACAGGTTAATGGCTAAAAAGTCACTGCTAGTTCAGGCTAAGAGTTGATCATTAGTACTTATGCTTTTCTGCAAAAAGAAAGTGTCAGCCAGATCCACTACATTGAGCTATGTATAATCCTTGGTGTCATTTATTTTGGTTTTCGACGGGTAAGTCTAGCTGAGTACATTCTCGTACTCAGGGTTTATTCCCTCTTGTTGCAGATGACCTTCTATATCAGGGATTCTGTAAGTATTGTCTCCACCCGGCGGGTGATGAAGACTAGATCATGGGCATGATCTCTGTTCTCTTATCTGAATGCTTTTGCGGGCTGTGATCAGCGAACCAGTATGTGTATTTGAACTCGGGTGTGTAAGTTAAACTATTTGCTTCCGTATGTTTTACAAGACTTGTTTTGTAATAACGATGACTCAGTGATGATGTAATCTATTTGCGAACGTCTGCGAAATGTTGTAACGTACGATATGTTATGTTGAATTACTGTGATCTTGGTTGTATACAAGTTGGTTTGAAATCCTTCGAGATTTCAGTTGACTACCGAGTTTATATGGACTCAAGTTCGAGAATTTGATCGTTTCGGCGATTGTTTTTGTACTTGTGCTCTTATAAATTGGTCGGTTCTGTGACAATCAGTTCGGGGAAACAACCCATGTGCTGAACGTAATGGCTCACAATTGGTGGGATGCCATTCATCAAGTCTGTGCAAAAGATGCATATTCCAGGTACTCTGTTGCTCATATTAACTGTTTTAATGAATTCCTGCCTATCCATCAAGTTACTCACTTCATATTCATTTTTCTTGCTTCGGCCATAGGTCCAAGAAAGTGTAATTATAAGGAAAAATGCAGTTATTGCAAATGGAACCCAGCCGCCTTGTGCAATCTTATATAGGAGTGATATCGTCATAAGACCTTCAATGGCAGTGTAGATAATATATAAAATGACCCAGCTATTGCAGAATGAGTTTACCATATTATTACCATGACCACTGTGATCAGATGCGTTGTAATAAGCATAACCCATATCACTGCAATACCTGTAGACCAAAAGAATGTGTACATTATTTACTTGAGCTCTAATGTTTATAATACTGCATCAAGCTAAGCATGATGTTTCTATAAAGTACTATTCAAATTTATGCAATACTGTAAAAACTGTGCTTTAAAGCCCATGTACGTACCACAAAAATGATGAGGAAAAGTAACAAACAAAACTAATATAAGTATGTGCTAGATTGCTTACCATAGGCTTGCCCAATCTCTGGTCCACCCTTAAAACCAACAGTAATCAATATACAAGCAATCATCAGGAAGTAGTTGATCTCTGGAGAGTATACTCGGCCTTCATATTTCTTTGAGGTGTGCTTCATGGTAACTCTAGGAAAACAACCTAAAGCAATTGATTGTTTGATGATGGAGAAACTGGCAGATATCAATGCCTGGCTTGCAACGATGGCAGCCAAAGTAGCTACGATAAACATTGGCCAAAACAGTGGCTCTGGGACGCTACTATAAAATGTTGTGCTGAGCTTAGATGGGTTCTTGATAAAAAATGCTGCTTGGCCAGCATATGCAAGTATCAGTGCTGGATAAACTAGGCATGAGTATGCCATCTGCAAGGACAAAGGAAAGGGAATTAACTAACGGTTTCTTATTTATATAATAGGATAGGAAAATTATCATATTAATTACCTGGATTGATTTCTTGTTGAAATGACCCAAGTCAGCAAACATAGCTTCAGCACCTGATGGCAACCACAATTATTTAGTTCTGAATTCATTAACAGGCTAGTACTTGATTACAAAATAATCAAATGTTGCTTGTTTCTTGTTGTATCACATGAACAATAGCTTTCTATGATTATATTGCATGTTACTTGTTGAAACAAAAAAAAAGTATCATAGTTAGGCTACATTTCTTACCTGTTATGCACAAAACAACTGTTCCAAATTGCTCCCAGCCAGCCCTTTTGTTCCTCGTGAAGAAAAGATATATGTAATGTGGGGATATGGCTTTCAGAACCGGTGGATAATACTTGATAATATTGTATAGTCCAATGGAAGCAATCAACGCAAACCACACGAGCATAATGGGAGAAAAAGTGAAGCCAACTTTGCTTGTGCCATATTGTTGGAAAAGGAAAAGGATGACCAGGATAATCACACATAGGAGGACAACGTGCCCTGAAACAAGAAAGATAAAATATTACTCATTGTTTTTCATTCCAACAATAAAATGGCTCTAAACAAAATATCATGATCAGAGATGGTAGGCAGTATTACCTTGTTTAATGCTAGAGGATCTTGACTGGATTCCTTGAACAGCTGACAGGACTGGATAAATTTGGAGAACAGCATCAGGAAATCGAAAAGAGAATTGGACCCTATTACTTTTAAATCTGCGCTAGGAATTGGGATGACAAATCAAAATGCTTTTTATGATTCAGTGGAATTTACATCCTTTATACATGTTTCAAGTTATTGCAGCAATGCTTTATGTCAGCTGATTCTGCTACAGGCGTCATACAGATGGTTGTCTGACAAAGACTATTCTTTTTTTTGAAAGACCAAAGACTATTCTTGGATTATGAAGTAATTAACTATCACTGTATTTGTCTTTAAATGAGAAAACATTGTCCCATGTATCTTAAAATAGAAACAGTGATGAACTGATGATGTAAAGTATATATACCTGAGATGGATGGAGTGAGGGCGCCGTCCCCCATCACCATGCAAGTTCCAACCAGCACAAGGTAGGTAATGACTGCCTGCGCAATGGGGCTGCCTTCCAGGAACTTGAGCATCCTTGGTTGCAGCCTGCTCTTTTTGCTGTGGAACTTGAGGTTGGCATCTGATGCCAGCCGGGTGACCGGCACCGGCATCTACTTGCCGATTGATCTTTACAGGTTATCGGAACATTATCAGAATTTGTACTAGAACCAAATTCTGATCGGAAATTACGAGTATACTCTCCCTGATGCAGCAATTTCAAACATACGCGTGTTTGGAGGAACATTTTGTTTTTGAAATCTTTGGTACGGTTTAATTCCTGAAGATAGAGTTCTTTTTTTTTCTTTTTTTTATATACGCAGGAGTGCCTTAATGCGTCATTTTGTTCAGAACCTATCTCAGCACTGCATATGCAACATGACGTACTGTGGCACTGCAGATGTAACATGACGTACTGTAGGGAAGTGAGGCTGCGAGTTCTTTAGCCCTGGTTTAGTTCGCGAAAAGTTTTCTTAAAAAGTGCTACAGTACTCATCACATCGAATCTTGCGATACGTGCATGGAGCATTAAATGTAGACGAAAAAAAACTAATTGCACAGTTTGGTTGGAAATTGCGAGAAGAACGTTTTAAACCTAATTAGTCCATGATTGGACACTAATTGCCAAATAAAAACAAAAGTGCTACAGTAGCTAAATTTCTAACTTTTCACGAACTAAACAAGGGCTTACATCTCTGCAATTTTTTCCTTCTTGTCAACAACTTAAAAAATAAATTCTACTTTGCCCGTTATTTCGGTTCTTTGCTGTTAGAAAAATAATAATAATATAAGCTCGTCAACTGGACTCTTCTACTTTGCCCATTATTTCGGTTCTTCGCTGTTAATACAAAAAAAAAAAAAAACAAGAAGAAAGAAAGAAAGCGCGTCACACAACTGGACGCTACAGATTCGGCCACCTAAATTTATGGCAGTTTGTTGGATTTAATTAATTTGGCCACAATTTAAGCAGTGCACCAACCTTTGCAAGATCATCATTAGAAGAACAGTACGTACAAAAAAAAATAAATACGTAGAATGTACGACAGTGTACCTTCTCCGTGGTCATCAGCGTGGAGCACGATGAAGACGTACTTGACGAGGCTGACGAGGGTGAGCGTCCAGAGGATGAGGCTGAGGATGCCGAGGACGTCGTCGGCGCCGGGGTCCGGCAGGGTGAAGGACGAGAAGGAGTACAGCGGCGACGTCCCGATGTCGCCGTACACCACGCCCAGCGACTGGTACCCCAGCAGCGCCAACTGCCACCGCGTGAACTCCTGCAGGCGGCGGCGGCGGCGGCGTTACACGTACGATGTCAAGAAACAGTTTTGGTTGGACCGATCTGAATGCATGGATGATGGATCGTATGTATCGTGTTCGTACCAGAGGGAGGGTTGCGGTGCCTCTTCTTGTACGACTGGCTGAAGGTCCGGCGTGTGCGGCGGCCGCCGCCGCCGATCTGCTTGCCGTCGTCGACGATGCCGACGTCCTCCTCGGTGATCTGACCCGTCGAGATCCTTTCGTCCACGGCCAAAACGGCGGCGGCGTTCACCTGGACGATCACGTCGTCCGGCGGCGCCGCGCGGTGCTCCATCGTCGTCGCGCTCGCGTTAAACAGCTAGCGCAACCGGCGAACGCGCGAACCCTTGTAAATGTTCAACGCCAAACATACAGGAGATCGATCGGAATCAGTACAATATATGTGTAATCAGATTCAGATGAATGAATTCGTGCGTGCATGCGTGAGATTCAGTGAATCACAGTTCGTTCTTCTACCTTTGACTAGGGCTGAAGTTTTTGCATTTTGGTCCGTTTTGAAAACATTTTTTACAAAAAGACCCATGTTAAAACGTTTGCTGAAAATAGATCATTTTTAGGAGTCTTAGAATATGAGGGTCGGCGTCGACTGACACGACGCCGAGGTCTTGCCACGTCACGGACGACCCCGGTCGACGACGACACGGTGGCGCATGGGGTCCGACACGTCGGCGTTGTGTCAGCTAACGCCAAAGGCCCAACCTCGGCGCTGTGGGACTACACGCCGAGCTATTGGCACCATCCGGCGCGTGGCCCAGGCGGCCCAGCAACGCTTCGTGGCCCAATATCTCGGCGCTGGGTCACTTAACGCCGAGCCACCGACCTCGGCGCGGCCCGACTCAACGCCGAGGTCTGGACTCTTGAAGTCGCGCCGAGGCCCCCTTCTTCTTCCTCCCTCCATTCTGAAACCGCCGGCCGGCTCTGCTCTTCGGCTCCCCCCACGCCCCCACGAAACCCTAACTCCCAAAAGCGACCCTAGGAGCCCCGATCTCGTCTCCCGAAGCTTCCTCGAGGTAATGGTCCCTCCTCTCCTCCAATCTATCCGCGTAGATGTGCTTGTATTGTCTCTAATCATGTGGAATCATGGGTGTATGGTGTTTTGGTATATGTGTATTTGCATTTGCAAAATATATGACTTAGGTTGATTGAGTGCATTGTTGTTTAACTGTTTTATGTGCTAAACATGTTAGGTTAGTTTGGTTTCTAGTTATTTTGGTCATTAGGGTTCTTTGTTTATTATAGGTGTCATTAGGGTTAGTTATTTGTTGGTCATTAGGGTTAGTATGTATTTTACTTATTTGTTGGTCATTACATTTCAATTTTTTATGACTACAAATGATTATGTTGTTGGGGTTGAAAAAGATGAAATGATATATTTTAGTTTCTACTTATTGGATTGAAACTCGCATGATATATTGATATGTGACACTACTTGTTGTGTGATGGCTGTAGATGGATAAATTAGTGAGGTTGCATCATGGAGGCCGTATTGTTAGGACAAGAGATGATAGTTTGGAATTTCTGGACATGTGTGAGGAGTTGTTGATTTTTTCTACAACACCATCTTTGACCCAGTTAGTGGAGCGAGTGAAGGTTAAGTTAGGCTGGAATGAAGGAGACGTGCATGTTCAGTTTGAAGGTGTCATAGATGTTGGGTCGTCGAAGGGTCCTCGGATCAAGCGGTTGCTCAAAATTACAAGCGAGACTGAATAGAATGATTACAGGGCAGTTGTATTGGCCTCAGAAGTGCGATCTTTGAATTTAGTAGTAAGTAAGGAGTTCGGCTTAGGAAATGATAACTTCGAAGCATGGCCATCTTCCCCCGCTCACATAGGTTATGGTCCTTTGTCTGAAGAAGAAATACTTGTCACACAACTAGGCTACGGTGGAGATGAGGAGAATCCAGTTGCCGATGGTGAGGGCAATCATGATAGTGATGAAGAGGATGATGATTATGTAATTGGTGATGCAGAAGAAGGTTTGGACGACGCTAGCGGAGACTTTTTTATTGAGGATGAGCTTAGCGACGAAGATGATCTTAGTGGTGAAGAAGACTTTGGTGATGCTAGGGATACGAACCGTTTTGACATGGAGATAGCTGGAGATGATGAATCCTTCGTAGAGGAGATAGCCGAAGACTCTGATGACGATCGCCCTGTTGGTCGTCTCAATTTTAGGGAAATAGAGATATTATCTAGGGTCTTGCCTTGGAGAGATCCACTAGTTGGTGATTTCGAGGACCTTAGCTATGGTCATAGGGCAGTAGCTGATGGTGGGCCAAGTGATACAACAGTGTCTGATGTTAGCGGTTGCCTCATCATACGGAAGGGCATATTATTTGCTACCATGGATGAGTTGAAATCATGGTTGCAAGAGTACTCCATTGTACACAACCGATCTTTTAGGGTCATCAATTCATTCAAGGAGAAGAGGTACACTGTTGCTTGTGAAGAACAACAGTGTGGTTGGAGAGTATGTGCTAGGAAGACGAAGGCAGGCAAATGGAAGATTACCTCAGTGAAGCAACCACATGTTTGTGCCACTGCTGAGGCAGAAGAGAACCATCTGCAGCTCAATTCTAGGTTCATTGCAAGGCAGTTATGCCCCATGGTGAAGCATATGCCAACCATTACGGTGTCTGCGTTGGTTGAGATCATCTTCCAACGGTACAATTACTATGTCAAGTATGGGAAAGCATGGAGGGCAAAGCAGCGTGCACTGGAAATAATATTTGAAAATTGGGAAGAAGCTTATGAGCGCCTCCCTGTAATGTTGAACGCAATGAGGGCTGTAAATCCTGGGATGCACTTCGAGTATTTACCTAAGGAGGGTGAAACAAGAAATTGTAGCCAGGTATTTGGAAGGGCCTTTTGGGTGTTCGGGCAGAGCATCGAAGCATTTAAGCATTGCAGGCCCGTTGTCTCAATTGACGGGACCTTTCTTACAGGGAAATTTGAAGGCACAATGCTTGTTTGTATTGGGACAGATGCAGAAGACCAGTTTGTGCCATTGGCCTTTGTGATTGTTCAGAAGGAGGACACGGATAGTTGGTGTTGGTTTCTCAGGCTAGTAAGACAAGTGGTAATTGGTCTGGGATGTGATGTTTGTGTGATATCCGATAGGCATGCTGGCATTCTGAATGCCGTAGAACAAGAGATTCCTGGTTATGGCCAAATACATCACCGGTGGTGCACCAGACACCTTGCTCAGAATCTTATAAGGCGTGATCACACAAATGACAACTTCAAATTATTTGAGGAGGTTTGCAGGCAGCAAGAGGTGCAATTATTCAAAGACAAGCTAGATGCCTTGAAGTTAGCCACAAATGTTGATGGCAGACAATTCTTGAGCGAGTTGATGGCGTCGAAGGATAAGTGGTCACTTGCATATGACACCGGAGGTTGGAGATGGGGCTTCATGACTAGTAACATGGCAGAGATGTTCAATAGCCTTCTAAGAGGTTGTCGTGGTCTGCCTGTGACTGCTATTGCCTCATTCACCTTCTACAAGTTGAATGCTTGGTTCGTTTCGAGGAAGAAGCATGCGAGGTCTCTATGGACAGCAGGCAAAGGTTGGCCACTTTTAGCATCTCAGGAACTAGATTTCTCAAAGAAAAAGTCTAAACGACAGAAGGGTTCATGTTTCGATCCGATCAACCATGGATATGAGATTCTAGAGGGTGGTGGAACTAACATTGGTGGTGAAGACCGCGGTGCTCGAAAACATAAAGTAGTGATCAATGAGAATAAGTGTACGTGTGGAAAACCGACCATATACCATAGGCCTTGCTCCCACACGA